AAGGGCAGCTTTCACTCCTCACCTTCCTGTCCTGTCCAATGCAGCACTCTAGGCATGCCAGCTGTCTCACCATGCCTCCATGATCCCAATGAGGTCATAGCCACGCAGCTGCCCACAGGTCTGTGATTCCTCCTGCTTGTTCTCCAGCCTGCATACATTAGTGCACAGGCACATCAGAGAGGCTACCAGCATGAGGTTTTGCCAGGAGGAGAACGAGAGCTTTCCCCATAACGTTTTCCCCATAGGTACTTCCTTATTTACCTGCATGTGCTCAGTGTGGTTTCACATCAACTCTGTCTTGCTGACTAAGAGTCCCTTTGCTCACCCCAACCCAGGCTCTTTGCTAGCTGACTCTGCCTCCAAGGTTGGCCAACCTGTTGGCAAAAATACTTTTGCACCATTCCATCAGGTGGACTCCCATGAGCTGATATGATCATACTGGAATACTTTTATTCACAAAAATGCATTAGGCTAGGAAAATGTAGAGACTCAAATAAAAGTTTAGCACCATACACTAAAGCAAGGTAAACCATGAATAGTACCTGTAGATACAGCTTTGACTCCTGGGAGAATTCCTGATTGGTACCCTCCAATTAGGCCCCAGCGTGGCATACAAACGACCCCTGTTTGTGAATGTAAATATCTCATGAGGAAAATTCTAGTCTGAGATCTTCAATAATCAGAGTACAAAAAACACGACAAGAGTAATTCTTATGGTAAAATACAGCAAGTTTACAGTGGTTTACTTCAAAACGTTTACCATTTTTCCTTACCTGATCAATAATGTGATAAAAATAACACCCGATTCATTTTTTTTCTGTGTTACAGGTCACTTGGGATTTTTTTTAGCTAATTCTGAATAATGTGAGTTAGTGTAAATGAAGACTAACTCACCTTTCAAGTCCTGAAGACAGTTCCTCACTAAATTCTGAGCTTTCACTGCTATCTAGAAAAGGAGAAGTACAGAGAAGGAATGAGAAAACCACCCAAAGGAAAATAAAATGCCAATGTAGGGTGATCATCAGAGTAATATTTATACAGGACTATGGAAATCATGTCTCAGAGTCAGTCTTTAGAGTTTAAGGTAAAATCTAAAATCAGAAGAGTCTTACATGAATTTTCCCATTTATGTTTATGCTATGTTTTGAATAGCAAATGTCTGCATGTCATTTTCATTTTCACAATGTTGCTTTTCCTTCAAAAAGCTGAGTACTTCAGGAAAATAAAATTAGTTCAGTTTTTAAGACAGCATTTTCACTACAAAATGTGCAGATGAATTAATGTTATTAGAGTATTGGACATGGTATCACTGTTTGGAAAGCATGACAGCTGTATGATGCTGCCTGGAGCCATAATAAATCAATGGGATGGCATTCGCCATGGTGGTCTCTCTTTTTCTTCCAAGCCCATGACCAGTTTCTCTCACCTTCTTTGGCACAGATATATGACTCATATACATGGAGATGGTTCTAATTTGTCTAACACTGATCTTCTCCCACTCCATATAGAGAGCTGCGTCTGCATTTTGAGAATGCTAATTAAGTTCAAAGACTATCTTAGTGTGAAGTTCTCCTTGATCAAGGATCCTACTAGCTCTCACAGTCTACTTCCTATCCCAGAGATAGTCATTTTGCCACCATAGTATAGTTGTCATCATTGTCATCATCCACATTTACAAGTTCATTATGCTTCATTTGAAGTCTCATAGAAGAGCTATTGTTTTCTCCTGTCTTCCAAAATATTCCATTAAAACAAGTTTTCTTTGTAAAAATGTAGCTTTTAAAATATATTCAGTATTCAGTTTAAGTAACACTATTATTTTGCTGGTGAAAACTCACACACCGTCCATGTTACATAGAGATTACACGCAAAGACGATCCTTCTTTATGTCACTTCTGTCAAAACCATCAGCTAACTGAGGAGATTTGTTTTGAGATAAACTTGAGTAAGTTGCTGAGTAGCAGTTCTTACCTATTTTCTTCTATGAAAGGGACTAAGTAGCTAGTGATTTTCCTGATTTCATATTTTTGGGCTTCTCTGAGTTTCAAGATAGCCAGTACAGAAATGCAGAACTGCTTCTTACGGCAGTTCTCTCTACAGACCTTACCTATGGAAATGCCATTAGAGAAAACCGAGCTTAGCACGCGGTTGCGCGCAGGACTGTGCGATTCCAGGACACTGTCATCCAGCAGATGGCGTGGCTTCTCTGTTGGGAACGTGGCACTTTTGCTCTCCACGACACTGAACTGACACATCATGCTGGAGAATCAGAGGAAAATACAAAAAGGCTCTTATATAATCTGATAACAACACTTTGCTCCTGATTTTTCCACTCAGGCTATGCCTCACCATACTATGATCATAAATTAAAGTTCTTAAATAGCAGAGAGTTAAATGGTACTGGTCATGTTTTCCTATTGTTTGTATATATGCTCCTTGACTACCAAAACAAGCTTCACATTTTTGTGACCTTTACAATTAGCCATTATAAATTCCCATCTACAGAAATGTATTAAGTTTTTTGACTCCTCTCTGTACAAAAGCTGAACTACTTGGGTAGAGAAAAGGTAGAAAAAAACCCAGCAAATCCACTGCTCAGTGGTCCTTTGCTAAACGGAATATACTGGCTTTGGAAAAGTCACATTAACTTTTTCCTTATCCTATTAATCATGAAGTTTGTTAGACACTGAAACTTCAACTGGAAGTGGGTGCTCTTACTTATCTGGGTAAGTGTGACACATAAAAATGTACATAATCCATGTTACCCAGCTAGAACAGTGCAAAAATTCACAACTTTCCTGAATAATAAGGAAGGATCACCAAGCAGACAGTAAGTTTCCTTAGATGTATTATCAGATACTAAAAAAACAAAACAAAATAAAATAAAAATCTGTTAAACACATCAGACACCTACAAAGTGGATATGCAGCTTTTGAGTACTGCTATTTTCTGGCACTATAAGAAAACAGTGTTAGTAAAGATAACAAAGTGCCAAGGTACCTGTCTGGAAAACCCTAGAGAATACACAGTAAAACCAGAAGTACTCTTAAAATCAAGAAATGCAAGGGGCAAACACCAAAGTGTTCAACTGCTAGATTAAACCCTGTGACGCATGAATTACTTGAGGGTGAGACAGACTGGAGCACCTACTTGTTTCCCAAGCTGTGACTTTTCCTGTGCCTTGGTACAGGAGGT